AACCACTAAGAAGAATATATGCAGTGTATTATTTGTTGAAACTGTACTTCCGATTTGATTTGAAACTGTCTCATTGCTATCTGTTTATCAATAAAACTGTAGAAAAATAAAATAAAATAAAATGCAAAGCTTAGTAGAACACCTTACCATTCTAGTGTTCTCAATTAAAATTATTACAGGCCTATGTCTGTAAGTTCCAAATTGTATTATGATAACTGGATGCATCTAAACACTGCATCCTGGGCAGTAGTGTTCTTTTCTAGGAAGCCAGAGTCCAATCTTTTAATTATTAGAGCATCACTAACTGTACACTCTCAAGCATCCTTCTAGTAAAGATGTGGCTTCTCACATAAGTCTACCTATAAAATTAAGATGCCAATATTAATATTGTAGGTATCATGTAGTGTCCCTTTTATGGCATACACCTCCTATTGCCTGCTTTGGGCTCTGCACACATGTTATCTAGACCTGATCACTACAAATGATCTTCATGTCTATAGAGCGGAGATGAGGCCCCAGGCTTGGAGCACTGTAGTGCTAATTGTAATGGCCCAGTGGTCACATAAAAATATAGATACCTTTATTTAATGTTTTCTTTGGTCATTGTTATAATTAAAAGGAGGACATAGAGTTTTTGATTGATAAATAAGGATAGAGCCTGTACACTCTTAAACCCCCCTAGTGTTCTTGGGTAAACATCTCAGGAGAAATGGAGGTTAACACTAAAAATAAAAGACTTGTGCCAAAGGATGCTCATTTGTCTGACTTATACCAGTTGGAGGAACTGCTAATCAAGTTATTCTACTTTTCATTTCCAGCCTCTAATTGTTTAATATGCCTGCAAAATTTATATCTTCCCGGCCTCTCCAGCTCCGAGTCCAGCAGATGTTTCTCTGCACTATCACCAAAGAAAAAGTTGTGTGGATTTCCCTGACGACACCTCCCTCCACGTGACTCCTAGCAACACCTGCCATTCTCCCAGCTCCTTTTCTCCCTCCACCTCAAGCACCTTCCTCATCACACCCACCAGTGCTCTTCTCCCCATGGCAGACCACCAACGTGCACCACCCAGGCATGTTTCAGATGGTCCTGTTCCTGACAGTGATGGGGCCCTTGTTTCCAGCTGGCCAGGACGGGGTCCAGCCCAATGCCCCGTCCTATCACTTGCCTTTTTGTCCACACCATTTCTGGTACCAGTTGTGGCAGCAGGAGTTCTCCAGACTCTATCTCTAATGCAGTGTATCTCTAGGGTTTAACACCCATGAATGGACAGGGAATGAGGCCTGCTCAGGAAGGAGAAGTCAAACTTCAATGCAAGCCCAGATGAGGGTTGCACACCAGGATTGTTCTTCTTTGGGCTGTTATGACCCGGCTGTTACCTCTGCCCTACTTAGTGCATTCAGGTCTCCCAGCAAAAATGTGTCACTGAGTGAGGATGCCAGCTGCCTGGGCGGGCACAGAGCAGAAGCTGCCTGCGCACTGCTCCTCCCACTGCCAGGCTGCTAAGTCCTTTTTTTTTTCTTTCATACAATTTTATTACTAATAAAAACAAGTTATGAAAATATTTCCTTTAGAAGATATAGCAACTACAACCTTTACAAAATAAACACACTCATAAGCATTACAATATATAATCTTCGACATTGTTTCAGAACCATAACCTGTGAAAGCTGGAAGAAACATTTTCTCTAACTTTAGCCATGTGCTGTGATTGATACTCAAGCAGTTAAGCCACAGTGTTTAAATAAAACATGTCTCTAGTAATAGGGCCAAAGGAATTTAACTTTTGAGATCTGAAATTCTTGTATTCAGATAGGAAGTTGGAGAGAGGACCCACCTCGGGCAGCCCAGGGTGGTTCTCCTTCCGTAATCTAAGAGGGGACAAAGGCAGAAGGCCTTGCAAATCCACCTTCGGCAGGTTCCCTGTCATTTGTATCTAGGGAGCAGGGCTCCTAAAAGATTTCTAACTGCCTGTGAGCTCTAAAATGTTGATCCTATCATGGTATATTTGCAAAACAATGCTTTTCCAAGTCTATAAATTCCAGCATCATTACCTCAAGACTTAATTTAGGAAATGTCAGACTAAAAGCATGACTTAAAATCAGCATGCTTAAAGTTCCCCTTTGGGGTCTGTGCTAATATCGTTTGAACAATGAAATCAGGCTACTAAGTCCTAATGTGAAGGATGATCCGAGCTGGACAACTCATCTACCACAGAGCTGCAGCAGAGGAAGTCCTGGGCTTAGCTTAGAAAAGGGAAAGTGCATTTTCCAAAACAGTTTTAGGATATTTGAATTGCTATTTAAAGTTGGCAAACTAAGAAGAAGATGTACAGGATTAGATTAGAAAATGTGAAGCTGTTACACCAAGCAAGTACTAAATTTTAGCACAGACTTTATTTGCCCATATGGGTGTAATTACCAGATTATGGATTTGCTATAAACGCTGAAGCAGCTGAAGTTGCTTCTCAACTAATTGATAGAAATCTTAACTCAAAGGTGGCCCAAGCTAGGTTCTGTTATATGTAAACAAAGAAATCCTCAAGTGGATTGAGCACATAGAAACCAGACAATCAACCATCTGCTCGCAACTGCGTCTTATTAAAGGAAACAGCACCTCTGCATCGGGACACGCGGGAGGAGCACGCAAGCGTCGCTGCAATACCACGTCGTGGTTCTTTGTATATCTGAAGATGAAATCATCGCCCTCATCTCTTTGGCAAAAACATGATTCAAAATCAAGGGGCAAGCCTTGAATAGAGCCTTTGTATTAGTCACCTTCTGGTCAATAGAACAAAGGACCTGGCACCCACAGTTTAAAGGAGGAGAGGTGTAGCTTGTCTCGCTGGATTCAGCCCATGGTGAACAGGCTTCATGTGAGAAAAGACATAGTGAAAAACTACAGTAGGGAAAAATGGCTTGTCCCACTGTGGGCAGGAAACTGAGAGAGAGGGAAAGAGAGAGACAGAGGCAGAGACAGAGAGACACAGAGAGAGAGTCGGAGGCAGGGGGATGGAGGGAGGGAGAGAGGGAAAGAGAGAGGGAGGCAGAGAGGAAGAGAGGGAGGGAGGGAAGGAGGGAGGGAGGGAGGAGAAAAAACAGACCCAGACCCAGACAGGCACACAGAAGTAGTCAGGGGACTAGAACACATTGTTCTGGGGCACTCCCACAGTGACCCACCCATGTCAATAGGCCCAGTCTTCTAACAGCACATTCAGTTAGGAATTTATCAGTAGCCTAAGCCACTGATGAGCATAACCCCTCCAATCAAATCACCTCCCAAAAGCCATACTCTGCATATGTGAGACTTTTAGGGTACAGTTTTAGTGTAAAACTTTTTTTGAACCAGGGATTGAACTCAGGCTCTTGCGCTTGCCAGGGAAGCCCTTATTCCACTGAGCCATCTGCCCGGCCTGTAATATAAAACTCGTAGATTCTGTCTATCTCCTTTATGACAGAAAGCTACAGGAATTAACTACTAGAACCAATGTTTATTAATCCCTGAAAAGTTTCAGTATTTCTCCGATAGCCTTGAAAATTTCAGTAGTGTCCATTCAAGAATGTCAATGGGATGGGTCACCATGCTAAGAGGGTTGTTAAGGCAATGTTAAAACACTATTAGCTCAAAGCTTTTTTACCAGAAAAGTTTACTGCCTTTAATAAAAAATATCTGGTCGGAGCGCAGCCAGGGCGGCTGGGTCCTGAGGAGGAGCAAGTGCCTGGCAAAGCCAAAGAGAAGGACAGGGAGAGCCTCCCGCTGGAGACAGAGGAGTCACACCTGGAAGAGGCAGCAGAGAGCCAGCAGAATGGCCAGGAGGGCACATCCACACCCGAGGAAAAGGAGAGTGGCCGGGAGGGTGGCCACAGACTGGTGGAGGAGGGGACCAGCGACAGCAACACCGGCTCAGAGAGCAACAGTGCTGCTGCGGAGGAGCCGCCCTCAGACCCCATCCCAGAAGATGAGAAGAAGGAATAAATGTTGCCTTGTTTTATGCATCCTAAATACTTTTTTAAATGAAAAAAAAAAAAGCTTTTTGTTTTATTTTTTTTATTTTTTTTTTTATTTTTCAACAAATAATACACTGCATATATTCTTCTTAGTGGTTAATTACTGTACAAGATGTGGACTTGTGATCCTATTTACAAACACCATTAGAACAAATCATTCTATTCATTAACAGAATGTAA